CTCTTATTATTTGACTATGCATTATTCAAAGCTCTCAAAAGCGAGCTTAGAGCACTTGAGAAAGTAACTTCAGTGTTATACGTGCCCACGCAGGGGACTGGTTCCAGCTCCCTCAAAGATGTTCTGGATCCAAGACCCGTGCGACCCGGCACACAGCCACTGGCCACGTGCCACGTGTGGCTGTCCGGCTCACAACATAACAAGCTGCAGTGATCCGCACCCAAGTGCAAGCTCCATGCCAGATCAGAGGACTCCGTGCAACAACCACAAAACACACACTGCCCGAGGATGATCTGCGATGCTGATCACAAGGTGACCCAGATAATATTTTGAATATGCTGGGTTAAATATAACATACATTTTTTTTTCTTTTTTTTTGGGAGACGAGGTCTTGCTCTGTCGCTCAGGCTGGAGTGCAGTGACAGGATCTATGTTGCCCAGGCTGGTCTCGAACTTCTGGCCTCAAGCAATCCCAAAGTGAATTGCTGGGATTACAAGTGTAAGCCACTATGCCCAGCCTATGAAATACATTCTGAAGATTCGTTTCATTTGTCCCTTCTTATTTTTTGATGTGGCTCTGCTGTAATCCCACCACACTGCCCTGAAACTGTCCTTCGGTTTCCACACTCCCCATGGGGCCTGGGTTTTGGGAGGCAGGAAATATGTCTTCATCTTAATGTGTTTCCAGCTCCTTGTCCCAAGACTGACACACACAGAGTGTTTAGGAACCAGCTGACGATGGAATGAACGATGATTGTGTGAATGAATGAAAGCATACAGGCACTCACACGGTGCCCCTCGCTGGTCTCCTAAAACCACATTTCCAGATTCCTTGGGAGACAGCTGCATCTGTGAGCCAGTGTTTGACTTTCCCCAAACAGCTGCAGAGTGTCTAGGGTCTGGGTAGCCAGGGGAGTCCTTTAGACGTTCAAGATGACCCTCATGTTGGGCATCTGGCTACGGGCCCAAAGCAAAGAACAGGTGCATTCTGCTCCAAACGTCCCTTCCCTCTCCTCACTCCTGTGCCTGCTGATATGGTCTGGCTGTGTCCCCACCCAAATCTCATCTTGGATTGTAGTTCCCATAATCCCTGTGTGTTGTAGGAGGGACCTGGTGGGAGGTCATTGACTCATGGAGGCGGTGACCCTCATATCCCTCATACTGTTCTCGTGATAGTGAGTGAGTTCTCACGAGATCTGATGGTTTTATAAGGGGCTTTCCCCTTTTCGCTCTGCACTTCTCCTTGCTGCTGCCATGTGAGGAAGGGCATGTCTGCTTCCCCTTCCGCCATGACTGTAAGTTTCCTGGGGCCTCCCCAGCCCTGTGGAACTGTGAGTCAACTAAACCTCTTTCCTTTCTAATTCAAGGAATCTTTCAACTATAATACTAATGCACCTGGCTTCTGATTAGACCATTTCCCCAGCTCCAGCCTTGAAAATTAACAACCACATTCTCTCCCCAAGTAGGATCCAGGTAAGAAATGGCATGCGTTTGTGTCTTGTAAATTGCCATAATGGCTAAATATCCACACCAAGTCCACAGAGAAAGGACAGGATATCTTGCCTTTCAGTGAAAGAAGGAGGGGGGAAAACAACATAAAAAATTTATTAAACTCGAGCCGCCGGGACCAAATCGCAAGTTAAAGATTCAGATGCATTCCCCTTCCTTAGAACTGATGATTTACGTTTGCAATAACTGCAGTCATAAGGAGCTCATTGGATTAAGGAGGTTCAGTCTTAATGTCAGGGAATAACATTACTGGACGATGCAAAGCCACATGTTCCCGGAGTTGCTTTTCTGGGTGAGAGGAATTCCACCTTGCATTTTGGTTCAAGAGATCAGTCACAATCAGGATGGGCAGAGAAAGATGGAAAATGGGCAACCCAGCCAGGTGCGGTGCCTCACGCCTGTAATCCCAGCACTTTGGGAGGCCAAGGCGGGTGGATCAACTGAGGTCAGGAGCCCCAGACCAGCCTGGCCAACATGGTGAAACCTTGTCTCTACTAAAAATATAAAAACTAGCCGGGCGTGGTGGCGCATGCCTGTAATCCCAGCTACTCGGGAGGCTGAGGCAGGAGAATCATGTGAACCCAGGAGGTGGAGGTTGCAGTGAGCTGAGATCATGCCACTGCACTCCAGCCTGGGTGACAAGAGCAAAACTCCATCTCAAAAAAAAGAAAAAAAAATGAAAAAGAAAACGAGCAACCTGGGATCTAGCCTGACTCTCCAGGCAAAAATCCTCAAAATTGAATGTGCACTATAAACCAGCAGGGGCAGGCCTGGCCAGGCTCCTATGGAGTGGGCCACACAAGGCCGATGTGGTCCCCATCGTCCTGGAGCCCTCCTGTGCTGACTGTCCAGAAACACTGAGGATATTTCTGGAGAGCACAGAACCCCAACCTCAGGCTGGTAACTTAGGAGAAACAGGTCAGGAACTTGCCCTCACACCGGCCAGGAGCTCCCCAGGCTCTGGGGGGCACAGGCTCTGTGTGGTGGGTGGTTAGGGCAAAATCGTGGCTCTGCCACTTACTAGCTGCGTGACATGGGCCAGTGGTGTCCCCTCTCTGGGCCTCAGTTTCCTTATCTATAAAATGAGGACAACCACAGAACAGACCTCACAGAGCAACTGAGGGTGGGGGATGTGAGGGAATGAAGCCCAGCAGTACCCAGCCCCAAAAAAGCTCGTAAGCACCGTCCACTGTTGCTGTCATTGTCATGTGGGTACAGGCGTCCTACCACGTGCGGAAGGCTTGCCCTGCTAGGGCTGGACCAGGAGAGGACAGGAAGAAGACACAGCGTCTGACCCTCTGATAGGCAGGGGACAGGCATTTAACTCCCTAATCACGGTGCACCCCTTGGGCAGCCCAGAGGCCCAACAGAGGCATGGGTGCTGAGGGGGCGCTGGCCAGGATGGCACACAAGAGGCTTCACACAGTGGGAGACACCTTGGCCCGGACGTGGCAGAGAAGGATTTCCAAGGCACGGAAAGGGTACGGGAAGGGTACGGGGGGTATGGTTCCAACTCTGTGCATAGCAAGTAGGGTGGCTGCAGACTCTGCTGGGGGCTGGGGCCTTATCCTTCAGGGACTTCCCTCTGGCCATGCCACCAGCCAGAAGCTCTGCCCCATCTGAGCCTCAGTTTCCTCCCCCCTTACAGGGTTGAGATGGACAGTCCCTCAGTCAGTCTCAGGAGCCTGCATGCTGCAGTGAGCAGTTTTGGGAATTTTCTTTCTTTCTTTTTTTTTTTTCCCCCAGACGGAGTTTCACGCTTGTCGCCCAGGCTGGAGTGCGGTGGTGCCATCTTGGCTCACTGTAACCTCTGCCTCCTGAGTTCAAGTGATTCTCCTGCCCCAGCCTCCCAAGTAGCGGGGATGACAGGTGCCCACAACTACACCCGGCTAATTTTTATATTTTTAGTATAGACAGGGTTTCACCATGTTAGCCAGACTGGTCTCCGACTCCTGACCTCAGGTGATCCGCCCGCCTCAGCCTCCCAAAAAAGTGCTGGGATTCTAGGAGTGAGCGGCTTTTTTTTTTGGAATTTTCGAAGTCTCCCTCAGATTCCTGAGGCTGGTCAGGGTGGACAGTGGCCTCCAGGTGGGCGCCCCAGGCCTGGCTGTGACCTGCGTGGCTCCTGTGCCCACCTCTCCCCTTCAGGATGCTCTACAACCCTCAGACCCACGTGGGGCCGACCGGATGTCTGGAGGAGCTCTGGGAGTCCGACCAGTGGGATTTCCCCAGGACCCCGTGGCCAGCCCAGCATCAAAGGGAAGGGTTGATGGCAGCTACTCCAGCTGGTGGGTGAGGAATTTCTTTCACAGAAGTGCATGAGACTGGGCCGCCAGCGTGGCGCTCCGTGATTTGGGGATGACTTGAATTGTGTCTATAGACAGGGATCCTGCGGGAAGTATTTTCCTGGGCCCTGTAACCTGAAGACAGCTCTGGATGTGGGTTGAGCAGTAAGACAGGCAAAGCTCCAGCCTACAAGCAGGTGCACAGTACACACAGCTCCCCGCTTACTCCTCTCTTGGTTGCCATTCTCAGTCTGTGCTCCAAGATGAAGGGAGAGAGAAACCCTAAGAGTCTTCCCAGAAGAAACTGTGGTTGAGCTAAGAACACAGAAGCTGCTGTCAAACAGTTCCAGAGGCCCCCAGGCAGCAAGGAAGCCCGAAGGCAACATCTCCCAGTGGCCTGGGAGGGCGGTGGATGAACCGGGCTGTGAGCCCCCTGCAAGGACGCTAGGTCTCAGCCTGGGTCCCTCACCTGCAGGTGAGGCCCCTTCCTCCTACCCTCCTACCTCCCTCCTCCCGGAGCGGGTCACGTGATCCCACCCTGGTCACGGATTCCCACGGGTCCTGGTGGGGCTGCAGCCCTGGTGCAGTGGCCAGGCTTGGGCAGTGCCTGGGTGGAGCAGAGGCCTCTCAGAGGGAGGAATGAGGTGGACACAGAGAAGAGCAGAGGCGGGTCCACTGAGGCAAGGCAGTGACTGCTGGGCCACGTGTCAACCCCGAGCCCACATACTCCTGTGCCCTGAGCCCGCGCTCCAGGGGACTCTGCTTCTGGTAGCACCGCTCCCTCCTCACGACACGGCATCCCAAGACCCGGCTTGGGGAGCATGGCTAGGCCGCCTTTGGAGCAGGCCCCCTCTCTGCCCCACAGCTTCGCAGAGACAAGCCCTCATGGAGGACCCTGCTAGGGCAACAGGCCAACACCTGGGCCAGCCATTAGACTGGCTTGGCAGCCTTCTAGAATGTACAAGGGGTGTGAAGATCTGCTCATCTCTGAGGCCTCTCAGATGCATGCCTTCCCACTCAGCACGGCAGCCCACGCCATGATCCATCATGAGGAGACACCCCCGTGGGAAGAGCCAGGGCCAGCTCTGCCTGCACTGTGGCTGCCATGTTTCCTGTTGACTCTCTGGACACCACCAGGAACCTCCCTGCCCCTCCCTCCTTCCCTCCTCCCCTCTTCCCATTCCTCCTCCCATCCCCCCGCCTTACTCAGCCAGCTCCTCCAGGCTGCGGTAGACGTCATCGTCATTCTCTGTGGTCTCCTCTGAGGGAAAAGGCCTGCGGAAGAGAAGGCGAGAGGGAGGTGAGCAGGTCCCGGCACTGCCGGCCAGTGGGACCCCAGCTGGACCCCAGAGCAGAGCCCAGTGTGGTCCAGCCAGGAGCAAAGGGGCTCTTGTCCAGTCTCTAGAAGGACACCGTGTGCGCGGACACTGATCGGAGCCACAGAACGAGCCAACTGGGCCGTAGGGCAAGAGGAGACCCATGCCCAGCTCGCCAGGGGGCAAGGAATGTGTCACACGCACTCCGGGCTCTGGGTGTCCAATGGGCAGATGAGAGGCCCAGGTCAGGGCTGCAGAAGGCGTTCAACTGCCCGGCGACCTGCCTTCCCCTTTACCCGCACTCCCACTTCCAGGGGGTTCACAGTGGAGAGGAGGCTCCTCGCGCACCTCCTGGTGGGCAGGTGGGAGGGCTGCCAGCTCAGCCCCCGCAGGAGAGGAAGCAGGAGGGGACTCCAGAAGGGAGGGGTGAGTTCTGAGGCACCGAGGATAGGGGCTCACCCACCCCACCCACCCCACCCACCGGCCCCTGGCTTGAGGTCCGGAAGACAGTCCTGAAAATGAAAAGCCCTCGGAACCTTCTGCATGGATCTGCAGCCTCCCCTCCTACAATGGGAGCAGGAGCCCCATGGGGACTCCCCAGAAGGAACGTGGCGCTGCTCCCCCTCGCCCTCCGCCCCCAAGACGCCCCAACCCTGGTGCCTTTGTTTAGTTCAGGATGGTATATAAATATAGAGATACATAAACTTTAATCATCCGGGCTCTTCTTGAGTCTCATTTTGTGGAACTCTCATGCATATGTATATAATTATAATGGTTTTTCTCCTGTTCATCTGTCTTATGTCAATTCGATTCATAAACCTGCCCAAGAACCTGGAGGGGTGGAAGGAAGCGGTTTTCCTCCCCTAGGACCGAAAGCATCGCTCTGCTCCATCCTCTGCAGACAGACAGATGGGTCTACAGGCCTCGCTGCACAAGGCGAGCCTGGGCCAGACAGGCCAACCACTCAGAGCTGAAATGCCGGGCCAGCCTCGGGGAGGGGGCAGAGGCGGAGGGGAGGGAGGGGTGGGATGGAGGAGAGGCAGGAGAGGCAGATCAAACACCTAGAAGAGGGGGCTGCAGCTGGTTCAAGGCTATGGGCCAAATCCACTCATCTCTACAGGAGACCTGAGAGGCCCCTTAATTAAACCAAACATCCTCGTGCAGCCCCCGGGTGCGTGTTCTGGTAGGAAACCTGTCACTAAGGGTGGGACGGGAGATCCCAGCCGGGGGGCTGCCTGGGCCCAGATGCCAGCTGGGATTGCTTCCTTGCCTGGGGTCAGGCTGACATTTGCTCAGCCCGAGATCCAGCAGGGACGCGGTCCATCCTGGCAGCCCTGCCCCACCTGGAGGCTGGGGGCCTGTGCTCCTGCGGGAGGGGCAGGGGGGAGTTGTGAGCTATGAGCTGGAGGCCTGGGTCCTACCTGGCTCTGTCACAGACCTGCAGGGACTAGGTCTCAGGTCGGAGGTCCCCAAGCCAGACCCACCAGGCCATTGGTCAGCGTGCCCCTGTGGCTTCCTGGTAAAAGCCCGTGCCCAAGGAGCAGCATGGCCAGGCCTGACCTCTGCATGGGTGAGCTCGGCTCTCTGCTCCAGCCACTCTCCCTCCTTCCACCCATCACCATACAGCCGCATCCCCCAATGGAGGTGCGTGTCCCGGGTCACGGGCAGAGCTGAGGCTGCCACGAGATCCTCCCCACCAGGGCTCTGTTGCTGACACAGCACCATTCATGGCCAAGAAGCCCCTCAAGGAATCCATCTCCTCCCGTGATATGCAGAGCCCCAGGCCGACACAGACCCCGTGCAGCTGATGGGGGTGGAGCTGAGAAGCCACAACCTGGAGGGACTGGCCCACACGCGGGTGACCCCGGAAAGCACAGGAGGCTCTGCCAGGCTGAGATGTGGCTTCAGGACCCAGAGGTGGAGGCTTCTTTCCCTTCAGCATGAAACCCTGTTGCCAGGACCGGCCCTGGGCCGTCCCCGCTCCCACGCCAGCCCCTCGCTTACGTGCAGCCATCCCTGTCTCCGACCTCATCGGTCATTTCTGCTTTTTCTAAATTTTCAGTGATGATGGGTATGACTTCATAATAAAGAAAAACAGAATCAAAATTCTCATTATGAAAATGTGTCCTCATCGTAAGCAAATATTTTAAACCCCACTCATCTCCTATAAAAGGATGTTATGTAAAAAATGACATCGTGGCAAAGTATGAACGTGCTTTCTCACGCACAATGTAGAGAGGGAAGAGAAAATACCAAACTCCTGAGGTTGTGCTCTTGTTCAAATCTGATCACAGAGTGTGGGCGACAGTTTAGGGAAACGGGGCATCCCATCGAATCCTGGATTATCAACAGGACGGCCATTCGGGGACTGTACTTCCAGAACCCGCCCTGCTAAGCCAACCGAGAGATGCATTCACACTTCGAAGGAAACCCACCCTAACGATGAGTGAGCACACACACCTGCCTCTCACTCTTCTTGTGCCCAGGCAGACATCACTCATCAATCAAAGCTCTCCTATCCCTGAAGCACAGCGTTCTTAACACAGGGCTCTACTCCTCCATCAGTCCTGGGACTCAGACAGAACCCACCTGCCCTGCCAAGAGAGCTGAGCCCGGGGCAGCGAAGGAGAGGAAAAGCTTTGGAGCTGGGCTAACCCAGGTGTGAACCCTAGGCCCATCCCCTGCTCCCTGGGACCTTGGACAAGCTACTAAACCTCTCTGAGTGTCCGCCTTCTCCCCCTGGAAAATGGAAGTAATAGTGTCTTTTCAGAGGGCTGCTGGGAAGAGTAGCTGTAGGACGGCAGAATGCTCTGGACTTAGTGGGGTCCAACAACGGCAGCTGCGATTTAGTATTTCTAGTATCATCCTCACTCAGGGCACTTTCCGCTGTCCAAGAAAACTGCCTTCTGAAGCCTCGTGAGGAAGCCCCACTCGCCATGATGATTTCAGATTCTTGTTTCCTAACACAGAAAGTGAGGGCCCACCAAAATAAGGCACAACAGTCATTTCAAAACCTTTTGTCGGCCAGGTGCAGGGTCTCACACCTGTAATCCCAGGACTTTGGGAGGCCCGAGGCAGGTGGATCACTTGAGGTCTGGAGTTCGAGACCAACCTGACCAACATGGTGAAACCCCGTCTCTACCAAAAATACAAAAAAATTAGCCGGGTGTGGTGGTGTGCACCTGTAATCCCAGCTACTCAGGAGGCTGAGGCAAGAGAATCACTTGAACCCGGGAGGCGGAGGTTGCAGTGAGACGAGATTGCGCCACTTCACTCCAGCCTGGGTGACAGAGTGAGACTCCATCTCAAAAAAATAAAATAAAATAAAAAAACCCTTTGTCTTTTAAAAAACCTGACCTTGAGCTGTAGTTGTTGTAAATTTTCCTTCCCTGTATTTCATTTGGTGTCTTTTTCAACCCCTCCTGTCATCTCCTCTACCTGCCCGACCCAGAGGAGATAAAGCAGGAATGTTAAAGTCCAAAGAATTATACTGCTGCCCGTAAAATCTTTACTACTTTTATTCTAAGATCCCTATTTGAGGCCACAAATCCCCTTGAGAATGGAGCTGCAAATCCAATTAATTTCTGCCACAGCCCAACAAAGGCTCTGCGAGGAGGGGAAGAGCAGGAGAGGGAGGCAGCCTGTCAGGCACCATGTGGGGCCTCAGCACCCGGCCGCTGGGGCAGGAATACACAGAAGACTAGAGGAGGTTTCACCAGGTCCCCTTTCATTCCACTCCCCCCACACCCCTCATGCCCATGCTGACTCTGGCCTTTGCACCTGCTCTGCTCTCTGCCTTCAGTCCCCTGCCCTCCCACCATTCACCCAAGTGCTAACATCCTTCAGAGCTGAATCCAAGCCCGACTGCAGGTGGGAAGACTTGATGAGTCTCTCAGCCTGGGTCGGCCTCTGCCTAGCACAGTGTCTGGCGCTAGAAAGGCATGGATGAGTACATGGATGGATGGGTGGATGGGTGGATAGATGGGGGGATGGATGGTTGGCTGGCTGGCTGAGTGGGTGCCTGGGTGTGTGGGTGGATGGGTGGATGAATGGATTGGTGGGTAAGTGGGTGGGTGGGTGGACAGATGGATGGATGGATGGATGAGTGGGTGGGTGGGTGAGTAGATGGATGAATGGATGGATGGATGGATGAATGGATGGATGGATGGATGAATGGATGGATGGATGGATGGATGGATGGATGGATGGGCGAGTAGATGGATGAATGGATGGGTGGGTGGGTGGGTGGAGGGACAAGCGGATGGCTGAGTGGCTAGCTGGGTGGGTGGGTGGATGGATGTGTGTGTGGGTGGATGGGTGGATGGGTGGGTGGGTGGATGAATGGATGGGTGGATGGAGGGATAAAATGGATGGCTGAGTGGATGACTAGGTGGGTAGATGGATGAATGGATGGATGGATGGGTGGGTAGGTGGATGAATGGATGGGTGGATGGAGGGATAAATGGATGGCTGAGTAGATGACTGGGTGGGTAGATGGATGAATGGATGGATGGATGGATGGGTGGATGCATGGGTGGGTGGGTGGGTGAGTAGATGGATGAATGGATGGGTGGGTGAGTGGGTGGATGGATGGATGAATGAATGGATGGATGGGTGGGTGAGTGGGTGGATGGATGGATGGATGGATGGAAGGATGGGTGAGTAGATGGATGAATGGATGGGTGGGTGGGTGGGGGGATGGATGAACGGATGGATGAACAGATGCATGAATGGATGGATGGGCAGGTGGTTGGATTAATGGATACGTGGGTGCATGGATGGATGGATGGATGGATGGATGGATGGGTAGCTAGAGGGGTAAATGGCTGGGTTGGTGGGATGGGTGGATGAGTGATAGATGGGTAGGTAGGTAAGTAAGTGGGTGGAAGGACAGATAAATGGGTTGTCAGGTGGCTGGATTCATGAGTGCATGGATGGATGTCTGGGAGGACAGGTGGATGAGAGAGTAGTTGGACTCTGTGGGTTGACAGACAGATGGATGAGTGGATGGCTGAACAAATGAGAGGGTTGGTGGGTGGGATTAGTGGGTGATGGATAAGTGGACAGAAGGGTGGATGTCAGATATTCTCAGGCTGCTCTTTACCCCCTGGAACGGCAGCCTCAAATTAGATCCAAGGAAGCATTTTTTTAAATTTTTATTTATTTATTTATTTTGTTTT